CACACACAAGATAGAGAGATTCTTGTGCTTGCTGTGTTGTTGCTTGCTTTGCTTGCTTTTCGCTTGCTTTTTGGCTGCGAAATGACTGTCGAGCGGCAGCACGTCATTGTCGATCGCGATCGAAATCAACGGAATCTTCTTCCTCACCGAAAACAACAACGAAATTTCGAACTTGATAGCACATTCACTCTGTAAACTCTATAAATGGTACGTTAAGTGTTTTGAATATTTTCGGACATACTTGCTGATGTCATAGGTTGATTAGCCAATCAAATTGCTGCCTATCACCCCTTTTCGGCCTACAGTACAGTACAGTACAGTACAGTACAGATCCAACACATCATGGTCGCATACCGTGCGGTATCTCACATGGCACCATGCAAATTGCTCGGAACTGAGATTCTATAATAGTCACAGTCTTTGAATATCATATAAAGTTCGTTCTGAACTGTTGCATTGCATGCAACCATCTAGCTAGCTATTTAGCTAGAGTCTGACTCGCTACCGGTACTAGTAGCTAGCTAGCTAGCTAGCTAGAGCCCTCATCGTAATCATTTCAGCAATAAATGACAGCTGCGCCGCTTTTTTCAGTCCCACCAGCTGCTGACGTCATTAAATACAGAAGCAGCTGGGCCCGGGATCCCAACGGATTGAAAGATTGAGAGCGCAAAAAGAAGGAGTGCGCTCCCACAAAACCATAAGAAAGAAAGAATAGAAGGATACAATATATAGTAAAGATGACCAAGATGAGAACGACCATGATGATGAGAACAAGATCGTTGGTGCTGGCTGCGCTACTAGTGGTTGCTATTATGAGTGTGAATGGATCTTACTCTGGCAGCACTCAAGTAAACATTCATCTTCCCGGCAGTCTCCACTTGGACGGAGGCTACGATCATTTCATGGGTCACTTTGGCCGTGCCGCCATGACACGAGCGGGTCACTACTATACCAGTACTACTAGTAGTAGTAGTAGCAATAGTGACGGCCAATATGGCAGTATGAGTCTGTTTGTGGAATTGGCGCCTTCCGATCTCTGTCATCATCTGACCAACAACTATACGTTACCACGACAACCCAGTTTATTACTCGTCCACAATAGTCCCAATTGTTCTTTTGTCACACAAACACGACGCGCACAACATTTGGGAGCCGCTGGACTTCTTATTGTCGATAGAGCATGTGTCTGCGAAGAACAAACCAGCGGGTATTGTCAAATGGCAGACGGCGTCGAATGTCATCCCGGCTATACGATAGTCAAAGACGATGGATCCGGCGGCGATGTTTCCATTCCCGCCATCTTACTCAAACAACAAGATGGATCTCCGCTCGTCTCGAATCTAACGGCCAAAATTCCTGTACTCATGAGTCTCCAATGGCAAGCGACTGTGGCTCCGACCAAAAAACCCAGTGACACCAAGAGTAAATTGCCGTATGGCATGTGGTTGGATTTGCACGATACGCATCATACACCCTCATTGACACAACAAATGCAACAAGTGGCGTTGGCGGTGGGTGCCAAGACACATTTTTATCCGTCGTACATGTTTTACGATGGCACGCAACTGGCATGTCAGGGCGATACTACGTGTGCCGCCAGTTGTACTCATCAAGGAAAATACTGTTATCCATCGGCGCACGGCAAACAAGTCGTGCAAGAAATATTGCATCGACTGTGTATTTGGGAACTCTACGGTGACAATGGGACTGCGGTGGGCGATCAAATGGGACGGCCATGGTGGCAGTACGTGACGTATTTTGATCAGAACTGTGCCGCGCCATTGTACGGATACGACGACGACCAGCAACCAAACAACAACGACGCCGACAAGTGTCGCCAAGAAGCTTATCAGCATGCCAGTAACAATATGGATGGCCACGAAATTCAAGAATGCATCCGGTACAGTGGCGGCCTCGATGGTAGTGACAAAAATAATTTACTCGAACGTGACTTGCACGACAAGGAACGCTACGGAATTTACACGACACCCTCCATTTGGGTCAATGGCAAATCGTTACCGACGTATTGGAGGGCACCATCCGGGGCGGCATTGTTGGAAGCGGTATGTGTCGGATTTGTGTCCACGGGACGATATACCGCCGAAGCGTGTGACAAGTGTCTCACTAGTAGTAAGAGTGAACAAGAATTGGTGGATTGTGCGCAAAAATATCCCGATCGGTACGATCATCACGGTGGTGACGGCAAGCGTAAAAAGGGCGATCAACACTTTGGAGCCGCCAGTAGAGCATTCAAGGTTATCTTTTGGTTGGCATCCATCTCCGCCGTGGTGGGAGCACTCTGGTTTGGATACAAGAAACGACTCGAACGACAAGAACAAGATGGACTACTCCAACAGCAACAGCACGGACATTTGCCCGGTGGATTGCTGGTGAATGCACTCGGGGGCAATCTATTGGGAGGTGGTGGTTCGGATCATGGCGGCAACAATAACAATAGCAGCAGCGGCAACAACCGCAACAGTCTGCATGGAAGATTGTTGGATCCCATCTTGTCCTACATGCCACTCAATACTACCAACAGCAATGCCAGCACTGGTGGCGACGACGGAATCAATGGCGTTGTGAGAGAAGAATTCATCACGACATACGAGTAGATCTACCGATACCGATACTTCCGAATGATTGAATGAATAATAATGAGCCATGCACAATGGATGTATAGATATCCCGTACTTTACTTCTCTATTCTGTAGTTATTACGGTACTGTAGCTAGCTTGTGCGTTGCCTTGGTGGTTGCTATGGTACATGTGCGAGCGTACCGCAGTACCGAACGGTACGGTACCGGCTTTCATGTCCAGGGAAGACATCTGGATTACAGTACAGCCGGCATGCAAGAAGCCACGGAATTCAACCCTGTAGGCAGCACCAAAGCTACGGAAAGTGAAGCTGGAATCGTATCAATGGCAGCTAGCTTTTTGTGAGAAGAAACCATCCGTACGAGCGATGAGTAGACCTCAAAAGGTACCATTGAGAAGGCAAATCAGACGCAAAACAGAACGCAAGATGTATAGTTATAAGTAGCTAATTGTCTGTATGTGTATAGTCGGCTATTTGGAACTGTTTCGCCTCTGCTTGGCAAGGTAAATGGAGGATAGCAAAACATGTTGCGTGGTATGCATTACGGAAAGCAGTGTCTCGATCGTCCAAGTTCTCGGAGTGTCAGGCTGGTTGGGAAGCTTCCTTGCATCGACCGATACTACAAGGAAGAAGTAGATATGGAGGCGGGGGTTCAAGCGATGGGAGCCGCTACGTGGATTCCAGGAACGAGCACGTTCAAAGCCAGCTCTCCAAGTACGTCCTCTCCCAGCATGGCTTCACCCTCAAAAAATGGGAGCATCTTTTCTAGAGCATCCAGCGCCTGCTCGGCATCTTCTCGCTGACCCAAAGAAATGACTGTTTGGATCATGTTGTTTTGAGCCAAAACGTGAATGTTGCGAATAATCTGTTTCTCGAATCCATCTTCTTCAACTGCAGTACAGAGTGTTATGCACTGCTGGTAGAGGCTGAAAGCCTTGTTCGTACCCAATTGTCCGCCTCCAAAGTGGTAGACTAGAGCCATGTTTAGCATCGTTACGGCCACACAGTGGGCCATCTGTCCTTGCAACTGAACTCGAGTTGTCCATCTTCCCAATGGATGATGATTCATCCGGTTCAAGACAAGAGTTAGGGGGGTGGCAAACACATAGAAACAGCCATTTCTGCCCTCCTTCATCAGGGAGAGGTTGGCACCACCTGGACGAACTGCAACCCAAGGGGCAGCAAGATCATCAGTGTCTGCATCAGGTAGCTCTTCAGAAAAGGTCGAAAGGTTGGTCCAGACTTCAAGAGCAAGTCTGAGGCTCTGATAGGCCCCAGCAAAATTGCCAGAACAGAGGAGGTGAACTCCATCATTGTTGTACTTTGTGGCATCTCGGAAGAGACCAAGGCATTGGGTGTGAGTGTTGTTGGGTTCCATGATGACGAGCTCAAAAGCAAGAAGATTGAAGGTTGTATTCTGGCGTTTTCGAATTTGTGAGCCTTTTGTGCCGGATTTTGTGTGATGCTTTCTCACTACACACTACACGACATATCATGCATGTTCCGTCCCGTACCACTGCCGTTATGGGCAATTGGCAATTGTGATGATGAGCTGATGAGGTGACGTCCAAGGCAACCAAAAATCCAAGGCGTGCCCTTTTTGAACACCCTTTTTCACCGATACCATACAGTACGGTACAGTACCGGTACTACTGGTAGCAGCTCTTGGATTTCAATAAAAAATGCACCGGCAATCGAATCGAATCTTATATTATGTCAATGAGAATGCCATGCCTACAGATCGGGGGAACCAGACTTAAGTGCCTTCGGGTTGGGGGGTTCTTTTCATTTGGAACCCTACGCGCACTACTCCGACTGGTTTCTGAAGGGGATCGCTTCGCCTCAGCAGCAGCTCCGCCACTGAGCATCCACTGCCACCGCTGTCACCGTGGCACCTCGGTACAGTGTACCGTAGTCGGTAGAGAATAACGCAGAGAGACAGCAAGAGAATACCAGCGACAGATGATACGATGAGACAATGGCAGTCTCTTTATCCGTACTTTGAGAAAATCGACAGAAGCTGAAGCTTCCTTGATCTACTGCCCTGACACTGCACCGTACCAGCTGACCGCTATAGCTCCGCAATAGACCACGAAACTGTTGGGTTGATTGAGTTCATGATTTTTTCGTTGTCTATCTTGGTTAGACACACTGTAAAGATCTTTCTGTTTGCGTGATAGGGAGATCTTCCAGTGTAACAACAGTAACAACAGGTGGCGAGGACAGGTGATGCATCTACACAGAGCTAGCTGGCTATTTGCATGTAGGAAAACTGGGTAGTTGGCTGCGCTCCAAGCTCTCAGCGCCCCTTCGAATACCATTATCTTCGTATTCTTCTCGACTGAATCACCGTACCGTAGACATTCAGAATTGTTAGGTGGGTGCCAGTTTGCCGGTAGGGTTCCTCCATCTAATGCATACAGCCCTCTTTCCCCCTTCCATAACCACAATTGCCTGACTGCCTGTTCTTGTATGCACAAACAGCGCTTCGCCAGTTGGTTTCGTTACTTTGCCTGGCTACCAGTAGCCTGTGGACTAGCCTGTGGACTAGCCTGTCATGCCTGCAACTGCCTGCGCCGAGGTTCTGCTAGCTACGTGGCTGCAAGAATCACGTGTACCGTACCACCAAGTTGCTGCTCGACTGGTCAACTTGCTTGGGAGGCCGGGCTGGACGGAACACTAGCTACTTCAGCTCAAGGCCACTCTTCTCGAGAAGAGGCAATATTTGGCGGACTAACGACAGCTGCCACTGGGCTTACTAACGACAGCTGTCACTGGGCTTGATGGCTGCCCCAAGTGGTAAAAAGAATGTTTCAACCTGCGGCATAAAGAAAAAGAAGAAGTAGTTTCGTCCTCAAGACATCTCTTTCGTCTCTGACCAGCTGTTTGGTTTCTCAACCACATCTTTTCTTGGCTCGGAGAGTGCATGCCAGTGTTCGCGGAAGCAATAATATTACCAAAATCACTTTTCGTTTTGGGTCCTGGGATGGATAGAAAATATGCAAGCAAATTTCAACCGTTTCGTGTCTGCGCTTTTTGCAACCAGTCCATCTATCTTTCGGCCAGCCAAGGTAGAGCCTGGGTATCCATTGTGTCGCCTGGGCGATCGGATGGATAGAAAAGATGCAGCAAATGTGCAACCAGTTTCTGTTTGCGTGCTTGTTCACTGCAACTATTCAATCTATCCTTCGACCAAGGTAAAGCCTGGGTAACTGCTGTGTCGCTTGGGCGATCGGATGGATAGAAAAGATGTGCAACCAGTTTTTGTTTGTGGTTCTTCACTGCAACCAGTCAATGTTTCCTTATTGGTATTAGCCGTGTCGACCTCAGGGGCCCATATGGGTACCGTATGGGAGGTCATACGGTAGTATGCATGTGTGTGTGTACTGGTGATTGGAGATCCAGGAGGCACAGCTTCCACTTCTTTTAGGCGGAGTTAAGAGTTGCGAAGTCGACTTTCAACGAAATCTCTGGCAAGGTTCGACCTCTGGCAGGCTGTCTGGGTTGACACCTCTTATGGTATGAGGATCCATTTGAGTTGCTCTCGCTTTAGTCAGGTTAATGGTTGATGTGGTGTTTGTGTCTGCTTCTAGTCGCGATGGGGGTATTCCTTATTGCTGAGGCGCCCCACAATTGTTGCCCCCGTTGAAAGATGAGGTCGTATTGCATGCATTGGAGTTTCATATTAGTGATCAGCTTCCCACAACCAACCATTCATCTACCGGTATCTCTGAATCATCGAGGTGGGGACATGGAAAAATGAGGGATACACTTTCGTCGTTGCCATGTCAGTCGCAGTTCTCCATGGTCGATCAATGCATACAGCCACAAAAAATCGCCACAAACTCGGTGCCTGAGCTGCCCCTGACACCTGAAGCCTTTGAAAAAGTCGCTGTTTGATCAAAGAGACTCGTCTTTAAATCATCTTTGTTCATGTAATTCACCATGTCTTTCAAATTACCCCCTGTGACTGTTCATCAGAACTCTTTTGGAAAGACTTAGACAAAAAGTCATTCTTAATAGCTTCTTAATACATCTAAGGTACAGTCAGGCTGATAGCTGGACAAAATCGTTCTTGGCGTCCTGCTTGTTCCCTTATACCTTTCAGATGGGAACTGGTAACTTAGCCGGGTCCGTACAATATTCATTATTTTTCTGTAGTCACCGGTTACGGTGTACGAGTACGTACCAGCGTAAGCTCCAGCGTACGGTAGCAGCACAGCTAGAAGCACGCCTTAGCACGCACCTCCATCAGGAGGGGCTCCGGTAATCCCCAGATGACGTCACAATAAACCCCAAAGTGTTTGGCGAGTCATGAGAAGTCGCGAATAGTCGCTTAGAGTCGCGCGATTAGACGCGGATTACCTAACGAGTCTTCACGATTCCACGCGACTCCTCACGACTCCTCGCGACTAGCTTCTTAAGTACTTGTATTTATCCTGATATGGTGTCGCGACTCCACGCGACTCCACGCGTCTCTACGCGACTTTATACGCGTTTGCGCGCGACTGCTCGCGATTGCACACGACTGTGTTCGCCACTGCACCACTGCACTCGCGCGACTGCTGTTCGGGGTGGATCGCCAAAAGGCCCGTAAACCGGAGGCCCTCCAGAGGGGAAGCCTTCACACTGTTTCCCTATCCCAGACTGAGAGTCCACGGCAGAGGGCATGGCACCTTAACGACCACTGCTAAAACGACATGCAGAGTTGTTTTCACCGCGAAGCAGCGTTTTACACGAGTAAGGACGTGACACTTCCCTAGTAGCCTCACTCGTTCGGTCGTACGTACCCCCTGTTCTCACAAATTCAAACATCTTCTCACAATTCCAAATGCAACGAAACAACAACAGCTTCCAACCCAACGACCAAGCAGCTACCATGGGAAAGTTCATTGAAGCACGAGCTCAGCTTCTTACCACTAGTAGTGGCACAACTAGTACTAGCACCAGCAACAATCAAGTGGAAGGACAGCAGAACAAGACCAAAGCTCCACCCAAACGACGAGTGACATTCGAAGAAGAGGAGAAGCATGTCCATTTTGGACTCAGTAACAATGTCCTTGTACACAGAGACGACGACGACCTATTCAGTGATATCACTCAAATGTGGTACACTCGCAGTGAGCTGATTAAAATTGCGGGAGATAGCACTGTCATGATCAAGAAGGAGAAAAAGTTCTTGAAGGCCAACAACGAAGATCAGCGAGGCCAATTGCGACGAGAGGACAAGATCGGATGGACTTGGAGAGGATTCGAGTACGCGCTCCACAAGTACGGAAAGTTTCGCCTTCGCAAGCAGCATTGTGCCAAGGTTCTCAAGTTTCAACGATCCGGCCGATGCGATCCAATGGCCTTGGCCAGTTTGGCGCACAATGACAGTAGTGGCAATGGTAGCATCCTTCGGGCTCGATCCTTGGCTGTCAATGATCAGGTCGAGGCTGCCAGAATACACAAAGATTCCACTTCCATCATGCGAAAGTCCCGCACTTTGCCAAGGAACTTCAAACAAAATGCATAAAGGGAAGTGGGATTTCTAAACAAGGAATAAAAGAAGAAAGAGAAACAGGATAATGCATAGGGAAACAACACTCGTAACGCTACATTAGTCGAACTGGCCTTAGTTTAATCAAACTTTGAATCTAAAGAATACACTTAAAATTGTTGATAGCAAGCTAGATTTGTCAGAGGACAAGTGACACTTCAACTTCAGGATGCTGGAGGATCTTTTCCTCGCATAGTACTCGCTGGTGTTTCGTGCTGGTTGCCCTCTGGGTTTGATCCGTTATGCATACTCGCTTGATGGACATTGCCGTACACATAGTCCCCGTCTGGGTCTCGCTTGTGTGGCAAGGCAAACAAGACGGTACCATCCGAGTCCACCAACAGAACCTGGGATGCACTAATCTCTTCTACAGAGGAATCATCTTCGTCGTCTGCGTTTTCATCTGGCGGTGCTACGGGTACGGACTGTGGGTCGTCAGCATCAAACAACCCAAAAACATCGTTCGGGTCGTGGTGGACGGGTGCAGCCTGTGCATTCTTCTGTGGCGAAGGGGCGTGTAAGGAGCCCAAACCCAGCAGATCTGCCTCTCCACCCTCGGAAGGAAAATCTTCGTGCTGTTCAGGTGCTGATGCAGCCGGAGGGGCTGGCCAATCGTCCAGGAAATCGATCTCGCTCTTTCCCGCCACCTCGTCCTTATCATCATCCGTCGTCTGGGCCTCTCCACTTTTGGCCTCTTTGCTTTTCTCAGCCTCGTCCATCATAGGCGAGTCCTCCTCTGCGGGCGCAGAAGAACAGCCCATTGGTGGTTTCGAAGATGACTTGGTATCTTCCTCCTCTTTTCCCAGCAAGTCTGCGTCGTCCTGGCAATGACCCTTGTCTTGCTGTTGTTCTTCTTCTGGTTTTGGTGTGTCTACAACGGTGGTGATGAGTTCTTGAAGGTGGTCCAAAGCCGCCAGCAAGTCCAACGTGCCCGTGGCAGGCGTCTGCTCTAGTGGGGATGTGTTGGACGTGAAGATATCAAAAGGATTCGTGCTATTCTGGTGGGTATCGGACGTGTCTGTTGTGGAGCATTTGCTCTGTGGCGGCATGCCATTCTCGTTCTGTTCAAGTTGCGACGATAGACACCCGGTGGGAACCTCCATTTCTTCGGGTGGCGGTATGGAATTCCGAGCGGACATGTGGATTGGATCATTGAGATCGCGAGGAGGAGCGTCATCCTCCAAATCGATTTCGTCGTCGTCCAAGAAATGCTGTGAATCCTTTCGATCTCCCGTGTCATAATGGGCCGCGGGGGCAGACGCATTATGGCATGCTTCCGTAAATGAAGTTGTTGGCGCTTGATTTTCGACAGTCTGTGGCTTGTTCGTAGCATCTTTCACACTGCCGTCCGCGTGTTCCTTCACGGTAGAAATATTATTGGCTGCGTTGTTGTTGTTGTGGTCGTTTGGCGCTGCGGGTCTTTCTGGTGCTGATGGACTAGGATGATTATTCGACTCGGAAACGTCATCTTTTTTGGCGTCGCCAGTTTCTTCTTGCTCAATATCATTGTTGTCAATTACTTTGTTTTCGTACGTGTCATCGACTGGCATGGGAATGGGCAGTGGAATGGGAGGAACACTGGAACGACGGTGGTGATGATGTGCACTACTGCTGTCCATGGATGGAAGCCCATCGAGAGAGACTCGAAACGTGGGTACGTCGTCATCTTGTTGATGATGATGATGACTGTCGTCCAATTCCAATTGTGCCACCACCGTGTCTTTGTCCACCGTAGTAGTCGTATCCGCAGTCGCCACAGTAGCACTGACTCCGGTAGTGGTGGACTTCCTGTTGTCCATGGCAGTACTAGTAGTAGTAGTAGTTGTTTCATCAGTATTATGAGTCCATTGTCGTAGAGAGTCGCCTTGATAAATGTCCCTCTCCAAGCACTTTAAAACTTGCAGCGAGTGCATTCCTCGAAGGACACGTTGCAAATTGTCAATTTGATTTTGGGAGCAATCCAATTGTTGCAGTTTTGTGAGGGAAGTCAACGACGGAGGGAGTTGTTTTAATTGATTGCCTTGTACCCAGAGCGACCGGAGTGTCGTGAGGGCGCCCAAATTGTAGGGCAATGTGACGAGTTTGTTGCGTTCGCAATGCAACAAGTATAGATTGGGGAGGAGAGCAGTGGTGGTAAGTGCATCGGGGAGTCTTGACATGTGATTGTTTCCGAGAAAGAGTCGTTGGAGCGTGTGAATGTGCAGAATGGGTTCGGGGAGTCTCTCTAGAGAGTTGAAGGCACAATTGAGATCTTGTAGTGAAGTTGTCTGTATGGTTTGTGGCAAATCAGTGAGTTTATTGTGCTGACAGTGGAGTAGTTTGAGGTTTGTGAGTTTTCCTATTCTGTCTGGCAGAGCAACGAGTCGATTGTGGTGACACCGTAGTTCTTGCAAGGCTGAAAGAGTTCCAATGGCAGATGGCAGAGCTTCCAGTTTGTTGTGCGAGCAATCCAAGAACACCAACTGTTGCAGACAGCCCAGACTATTGGGCAGCGTGATCAAACCAGCATTGGTCAAACTCAACATGCGACGCTGCTGGTCGAGACACTGACGAATCTTTTTGGCGGCGTCTGTTCTAGGTCCTCCTGTCACGAGACTGAGAGGAACCAATCCAGCCGATTGCCACGTCCTGAGATTGCGATGAAAGAACTTGTGCATCGCCTTGAAGGGAACCAGTGCAGGAAAACACGCAATGCAGATCCCATCGTGTACTTCGTGGTTCGTCAAGGGGCGAGTGCGCCCCGCACGCAAGTGAAGCGTCGTTGTGGTAGTAGTACGAATCCCACAGCTTTGACAGTGACCATTCACACTGTTCGTCGTCATACTAGCGTCACCTATTTGTCGCACTAATGATATATCTTGCTGCTGTTGCTGCTGCTCGTAGTAAAAGACGGCCGCCAATTCGACATTGTTTTCACACATGTCCAGAAAGAAGCGCGCCGTGGATTCTTCTAATTTGGGATCGTTCGTCACGCGGCGAAGTTCATTCACCAAATGGATAGTACTAGTAACGCCATCTCTACTACTACTAGCAGCAGTAGGAGGAGGAGTCAAGGATGCTACTTCCGCCATGGTGACAGACATGGACACGTTCCATTCAAATGAGGTACTTGCCATGGACTGCTCTATTTTTGGTGCGGATGTTGATGCTGATGCGAAAACAGCACTCTTGCCAAATTGGTTCGATATCCGTTCCGAGTCGTGCTGTTAGGGTCACGTCTTACAGTGCGGTAGATTTAACGGTCATCGAAAGATTTGGAGATGGGACTGCTCGTTCTTCGTTCAAAACAACCAGAACATGCAAGCCGGCAGAGGGCCACATCGTGTTGCGTTGCCTCACCCTCCACATGTCGGGCGACAAAAGTGCCAATGGGTGTTGAATGCACCTCCGCTGCAGCTCGCGGGGTCACCATGGATGCAAGCTATAAGATAGAGCACCTCTTTCTGATCTGGTATACTGGTACCGGTTCGGTACGACGTACCGTATGGATCTATGATAGCTCCGGTGGACCAAGTTTGGAAGCAGCTAATGAGATACAGTACTATTTCAAACCGTTCTATCCTTTCGTGGTCAAACTCGATCAAGACGACAAAATGGCGTCTCCCCCAAAAAGCTGGAATTCAAAAATTGACGTGACACTGAATGAATGAATGAATGAATGAAAGCATCAAGGAATTCAAAAAGTCCCCCCGCCTCGAAAGCAGAATGGGGAAAGCTCACTCGCACAATCAACAATTCCATGGAATACAGCCAGCCAGTATAGAAAAGGTTGAAATCGCTCGTCACAATGGTAATCATTCATACATGCCCTACGCAAGAGTACAGTAGTGCTCACTCGGCTGAAGCAATTCGTTCGTTCGTCTAGCTAGCTTTTTATAGTTTCGTTCTCACCTTCTTCGTAATCTCACGAAATGTTCTTTCCCAATTGATGAATGGCAGTTTCATGACGAGGAGTTGCCTCTCCTGCAGCAGCAGTATGATCCTGAGGAAAGTAGTGGGCTCCATGCTTTTGTCGCAACATCTACCAACAGAGCGTTCGTCTCATTCATCTGCCAAGATCATGGCTTCTTGACTCTATTTGAAGCAGAAGCAAGAGTCCGAAACCTGATTGCAGTGGCCCAATTAGATGGGGTGGCGAGCCAACAACAACAACAAGACGGTGAAGAGTCGACATGGCAGTCCTCCTCTACAATGACACAATGCATAATAGGGACATTGAGGGGTTCCCTTGCAGGAGCCTTTGCTGGAGTGATCATTGGAGCTGTGGGGGCAATGCTTCTCGCAGATAGACTTATTGGTGTAATGGCCGGAGAGGCCATTGAGGAATTTTCCACTACTAGATCCGTTGCCGAAGAAACTCCCACTTTTGTTGCTCAAGTAGCCCATGTTGGAGCAGCCTTTGGGGGCGTAGGAGGAGCCCTGATAGGCTGGACAGTTGCTGGTTTATAGACAGAGTCGTATAGTAAGGAATGGCAGCAGATTGAATGGTAGCTGGGGTCTGAGGTCAGGGGCAACCTTTGTCAATCTCAATCCCTGGCTTCTTGATTATGATTAGTTACACCTTTTAAATGTGCTAGTATTTGATGATACGGCGATACGGCCATCTCTCCTCCGCGCTTCAGCTTGAACGATCCTAACAGTTACTGATCCTCCTACCGGCCTTTTTACGGTGCTTATAAGCTTGGCTCGCTGCAGGCTTTCGAAGACGTGTCTCTATAGCCTGCCACCGTATACGTGGATAACTATCCCTCTCTAGCTAGCAAGCAAGTAGACCCCCTTTTGCTATCTTTGGGGTTGTGCCCACGCTTGGCGGAAATTGTGAAGTGGTCCTATCTCACAGCCTTAGACTACTGTCTTGTTTTATTCGCGACGCGTTGATACGGCGTGCAGCGCAGCCTGTGGACTCTGTGAATTATGTATCCCCCTTTTGCCCTGCTTCCGTTCTCCCCGCTCTCCCAGTACTGTACATGTACTCCCTTGTACATGTACCCACGTACCCACCGCTCTGCCTACTAGATTAGCCCCCCTCGCTCCTTAAGGTTTCTACTTTGTCCATCTTAAACGGGGGTTTTAGAGTAGGGAAATTAGCTATACATGTAATACGGAAGCCAGCTTTGTTTCATCCTCGTCCTCCTGCAGCACGACCTCCATTTTTGTAGAGACGTATAACTCGATCCATCTGCAGTCGGAGACCCGAAGGCGCCACCAGCAAGCCTCCCAATAGCTTTTGCGTTTATATCATAAAGGCAACATCGAAGGCCATTTCTGCGGGCGGAAGGAGAAAAGGCTGACTTTCCGAAGAACATGGAAGGATCCAATGAACATTATGGCGATGGACAAGCTAGCAACTCCAGAGACATTGAGACTCCGCCAGACCAACTTGACTCTGCAGTAATGGATAGCCTTAACGAGCACACAGAGACAGAAACCACACAGCAGTACAGAGATGAAGAATCTGATGCCACAAAGGCTCAAGTAAAAGGCAAAGAGCAAGTTGCCAAGAAGAGGGAAGCCAAGAAGACACCTACTACTACTGCTACTACTACTCGTACTGGCCTCAAACAAGAAGCCAAGTCAGAGGATGATGAAGGAACAACAAAAATAATGGAGATTGGGTCGGAACAAAATGTCACCCGTGCCACAAATTATGCCAATCTGCAAAACATGCAGACACCCAGGCATGGCACTGCCCAATCAGCCCCCAGAGCATCAGGTACCCCAGAATTAAACACGGGGCAAGCAAAATGTCCAACAGAGCCACTACCTGTTGCACCGTCTGCAACATGGGAGCAGCAAGCAGGACAGAGTCCCCACACAAATAGCCCTCCGGCAATGGTGCCCAACCAACCAGGATATGCACCTACCAATCATCAAGATTTAATGGATGATTTATTGGAAGGACTTGCGCCGATCCCAGTGGCACCCTCAACGTTGCATCAAGACAGGCAACAAGCCCGTCCTGGAGCCTACAGAGGCGAAAACTTGCAGCGTGTGCAAAGTCTTGATTTTGAGCTTGTGGGTAATAACAACAACGATGAAAATGAAAACTTGTACGAAATTGCAGTCAATTATCCTCCATCAAACACCAATACCGTCCCAAATTCTCCTGTCATGAATGGCCAAGGACTGGTTGAAGCTAGAGCTATCATTGAGAGTTCTAGAAGGCTAGTCTTCCAGGAAGCCAAACAAGTTGATGATGTATTGGAACGGCAGGCTGACAGAGAGGAAAAGGAAAAGAAGTGGCAAAGAGTTGCATTTGCCATTGTTGCTTGCTCCCTAATTATAATCGCCATCAGTCTGGGAGTTGGACTAAGGCCCAAGTCAGAAATCATCCAAACACCATCACCCACGGTATCTGGTTCCATGGAGCCTTCTGGAGTGCCATCCTCTGCACACACTGGGGTTATGAATTCCTGGGTGGATAGCCTGCCCAGTCACACCTTGGCTAGCATCAAGAATGGCAGTGAAACTCCTCAGTGGAGAGCATGGAATTGGCTTGCAAACCACCAAAACATCACATTCCTACCAAGATGGAGAAAGCACCAGTTGTTTGCCCTTGCTACATTCTTCTATGCCTTTGAGGGAGAAAAGTGGAATCCTCTCATAAGGGGGCATGGATGGATGGATGACACAGTGGATGAGTGCAACTGGTTTTCCAGTGGATTTGGATATTTTGATGAGGAAGGGAAATACGTTGATGATATTTATAATCCTTCGCAATATTCATGCAACAGCCGTGGCAACTTTACCTCTCTTTGGTTGGAAGACCTCCAGCTCTCTGGTTTGACACCTTTTATTCCACCAGAGATCACCATGCTGAGTTCACTGTCCCGCCTTCAGTTCGGTTACAATGATATTGCAACATCAATTTCATCTCTGATTCCAGCAGATTTGTATGAGATGACTGATTTGACTGGTTTTGGATTTTATTTTGATCCAGTGACTGGCCAACTCCCTAGTGAGCTTGGATACTTGACTGGTTTGACTGACTTGGAGTTGTGGGTAAATCAGTTATCAGGCGAGATTCCTTCAGAGCTTGGACAGCTAACTGGCCTGAGTTTCTTGGAGTTGCGGACAAATCAGTTCACTGGGCGAATTCCTTCCGAACTTGGAAGACTCACTAACATTTCATTCTTGCGTTTGGATGAAAATCAGTTGACAGGACCCCTTCCATCAGAGCTCGGAAGACTCTCTGAACTGTCAGCATTTTGGTGCAACGATAATCAGTTCACCGGACCTGTCCCCTCTGAGTTTGGTCAGTTGATTGGTTTGACATTCTTGAGATTGGATGGAAATCAAATGACTGGACTTGTGTCATCGGCATTGGCCCGTCTGACAAATTTGGAGGTTTTGAATCTAACGGGCAACCTTGGCTTGTCTGGCACAATTCCAGAGGAGTTATGCTTCTTGCAGAATATGTCTTACAATTGTACTGCCTACGAAGATGACGATTTTTACGCTCAGCCCTGCCATGTTGGCTTTGACTGTTCCTCTATTTTGTGTGGATGTGATTGTGCCTGTTCCAATTCTTCTTGATAATAGATAAGATTATGCGCCTGAACAGTTTGGAAAAATTAGTTGCTTCATCCATGTTTGAATGTTTTTCCAAAACGAGCATTGCTCCTTTCCTAAACAAAGAGCCTGTTCAGCCTGAATGCTGGCTGGTGTACCATGCAGTGAAGCCTTTGACATTCAAAGTGCCATGGCTGGTGCTGCTCCAGAATGCAGGTTAATTGCTCTACCGCACGGATAGCTGAGTTTGGGGGTCAAAAGCTGGATGCTGTAATCCACCCGCCAACGCCCTCGTAGAGTCTAGTACATTTTCTACGTGTGAGGCTGTTTGGCGGGTTGAAACGGCCACAATCCTCGTGTTGTTTAACGCGATAGGCTGATTCGGATTTTTGAATTTTTCATACAGGATTGAATCGCCGGTAACGGCCTGATGTCAGAATCCGAACGGATTTTCCTACTGATGTCTCTATAGTAATTGTTACGTGCGTCACTCATTTTCAAAAATCCGTTGAATCGTGAGGCCGTTACTCAGAAATCCGGTTACCGGGATAATCCACTGTACCAATACAGTACAATCCCTATTCACGGATTCTGGAGATTTGTATAAGGGATGTCTCATCGGACGTTCTGTGGATTCTGACTGGATTTTGACTGGATTTCAGCGACCATGTGTGTTGTTTGTACGATTGAATCGAACTAAACCATATCTTTTAGAAACAAATCGATATTTCCACATTCTGAGACAAAACATATGAATATTTCTTGTACGAGAAGATGGAAAAATGTAATTGTTTCTTACGTAAAAGGTTCTTATCAAACGGAAGCTTAAGAGAGGGCAAACAGTCGGAACCTCTCCGACTTGGCTCACGATACAAAAGCACATCGATCGATCTTCTTTCCAGTCAGTTTTCCTCATTATTTTCCCAATCCAAAAGCAAGAAGCAAACTATGCCCTTTTCTTCAGTCATCCCGGCCAATCAAAAGAATCCACCATGACATACTGCCGTCGATCGCTCTTACCGACCACCCCCATCGTTCTGTTGGTTCGGGTTGAAGGGTACCAAGTTCCCATTTGCGTCTCGAACCCAAACCTCTTGTGGTGGTGGTGGTTGTTGTGCCTGTGCCTGTGCTTGTGGAGCGGGTTGTGGAATGTATTGCTGAAACTGGGGATACACAAATTGTTGTGGTTGTGGCATCATCATATTCTGCATCATGGCTGCTTGCTGTTGCATCGCTACCATTTGACTCCACCCCGATGGAATTGGAATCGAAAACTGAGGCTGATGCTGCATTTGCATGGGAATTGATGGTTGATACATTCGTTGATCCATGACTTGATTCGCCGCCATCATGGGAGCTACCGCCATCGGCTGGTGGAATGCTTGATTTGCTGCAACTGGAGCCATCGCCACTGGAGCCGCCGCAACTGGAGCGGCAAAAACAGGAGCCGCCGCAACTGGAGCCGCCGCAAGGGGAGCCATCGCCAATGATTGATGAGATCCGGTCACGGAAACAACAGCACCACCGGACACCGCAGGAGCAGATGCAACACTTGCCGTCGAAGACGCAGCTTGAGCCTGGACCAACTCGAGCAATTGCTTCTTCGTCATCTTCTTCAACACCTTGTCCTCTGGAATGACGGATGGATCTTCGGTCAACAAGGAAGCTTCTTCTTCATCCTCCGAATCTTGAGTCAAGATCTCCTCGGGAACTGACTTTTTCTTGGCGGACGCAGTCTTCTTGGGCTTGCTCGACTTCTTCCAAAAAGCTTCCTTTTCTTTTTGGGCTTGGCGCTTGGAGGCACGCTTGGCGCGGGGCTTACCGCCACCGTCATCGGATTCTTCGTCGGAAGTTCGTCTTGGAGGACGTGGATTTCCGTCTTCATCATCAGATTCCACGGCCAAGTCCTTATCCGAGCACATCAACGCCTTGAGAGCAGTCGATCGACCTTCATCTACGAGACGAGCATATGGGATCTGACTCTGTTCGCACTTGTGACGGGCGAATTTCAATCGAGCCGCCATCGGAACGCGAGCTTGATGCATCTTGGTGATTCCATAGGCACGAAGACCATGATTCGTGAACTTCTCAAGATTTGTGACTCCAATGATCGTGCCGAGTTGCTTGGCCATCTTGGATACGGTGTTGTGGCCAAGATTGTAATTGGATGTACCACCCGACGGACAGAACCAAATGTCCCGATCCTTGTACTTGTTCTCGTGCTCTGAGTGGTTGGTGAAATATTTCTTGTATTCCTTCTTCTGCGTATTGGAGGAAGTCTTCGCGAAGAACTTCTCAGCTTCCGGGTGACACTTCGACAGGTAAAAGTCAAAACACTTGTAAGCACACAGTGGATCACGAGGATTCTCGACGATTTCCAACCAACGGTCTTTGTCCGAAAGAGCATTGGAATTGTAAAATGTCAGTCCATTCGTCTTGTCTTCTGGTAATCGGATTGCCATATGCAGACATCCAGCCAGGTCCCCCATCTCCCGAGTGTACATCCCGGAATAAGTATCCCGCATCATGAGACTTGACATTTCCTTACCACCCCGAAGAAGAAAAGATCGACCAAGGTGGAACACACAGACGAATTGGAGATCTTTTGGATTCGTCCAAGGTTGGAGTCTTCCGTCTTTGACAGCTTCGCGGATTTTCTTGTCCGCTTCCCAATCAATCTCCGAATGATGACTGCGAATTCCAAAAGTTGGATCCGTCTTGCGGATTTCCGCCCAATACTTGATCATGAATCCGTGGAAATCTCCTTTGGCGTTGAAATCCTCCTTGAAGGTGTACTGAAATTTGTTGTGCGTCATGGTTCTCCACTCGGTGAATACATTGTTGATGTATTGTGTGAAGACGGTGGGGGAGAGCGGCTTGCCTTTGTTGGTACCGGACAAGCACAACCATTTCATTCCGCACAAGATGGCACAATAGTTCAAGATTATTTTATGTTTGTTGCGATCTTTTTCTCCGCATACCACGTTGAAGAAAGTATAATTGGTTGAGTGGCCGTGGTCGTAATCGACGGGAACAATCTCAAGAAGACTGCTCAAGACGGATCCACCATGCTCGCGGATTGTCTCGAAGAATCGCTTTTGAAGGCTCTCACATTTCTTCTCATACTTTCTGCCGCGTCTTCCTTGGTCCTTGCACTCTTCTAGAAGCTTTTGTTCTTTCTCTGTCAAGTCCAAGGTGGTAAAATCTCGACCAACACCAAGAGCACTGGCAATTTCAGCAGCATTTTTGGGTGGATTTTCTTGTGTTGGTGTTGGCTCTTCTTCAGCCTCTGTTGTGGCTGGATTTTGAGATGGATTTTGGGGAGACAAGGAGACTCTGGCTGGAGCTGGTGCCGGCGCCGGCGTACCAAAGACAATGTTGGATTCAGAGCCAAGTGCCAGAAGATTTGCCACAACAAAGCTGGTTCCTTGAGTCATTACTGGCCGTTCTTCCTCTTTGTCGTCGGCGGCTTCTTCTTCTTCCTCATCCTCATCCTCTTCCTCGCTGCTACTGATGCTACTGGTGTCTACAGGAGGAAGGGTAAACTCGCCTTCGTGGTTCTCAAGGAGTGGGCTGTGGTGGAGGAGTCGGGTGTTCTCCTCTTCTTCTGATGACGACGAAGACATGATGACCAGCTAGCTCTCTAACAACAGTAGGGCTATTTACTCGGGCTTTTGTCAAGTAGATTACAGACAAAGACCTCCCGCCTCATTGACGGCCTTGATCTTGATCTGTGGTCTTTGATCTTGATCTGTCGTCTCGGCTGTCGGATTTTTGCCCTTGGGCTTTGCCCTCGTGCAAAAATCCTCCAGCCTCGACTGGATCCACGATCTCAGCCCTTGATCTTCGATCTCAGCCTAAAATCCGCTGGCGCGCGCTCTCGCGACGAATCGTGTCGGCTGCGCCTCCAAGAATTCTTGCGATCGCGCGCGCCATTGGATTTCCAATTTGCCGGGACGTTTTTCTACATATCACTTGAAACCTCTCGAGGACAGTCTCGTCTTCAACCTTTTCACTGGCTTCTTTGAGGCACTGCTTCATAATTCCACGTGGAGGCCGCCGGCCAGCAAGTTGAGCTTGCAGATCGCACACATCGATCAACATCAATGCCCATGTCTAGCCCTTGATAAGTTGGTCGTTGTTCCTGGCACTCATCTCTTTCGTGTGGTGAAGCATCGGATTACATCTCTGACCATGTCAAAAGCATCCTTCCTTGTATTTAGCTGCCTATGGGCAGCTCTGGCTTTGAGTTTTGGCGTCCATGGCTTCACATCAACACCCATAGCGAGACAAAAACTGTCCTTTCGCGCATCTGTGGCGGACAATGCGGAAACTTCCAAAGCAGCCGATGCGACAACTGACTCTCTGAGTTTGTTTAGCCCTTGCAAAATCAATCTATTTCTCCGGATTATTCGAAAACGAGAAGACGGGTTCCACGATTTGGCCAGTCTCTTTCAGGCAGTGGGATTTGGAGATACCTTGGAATTGACCAATCTAGATGAAGGTGAAGCAGATGAATTTTCCTGCAATATGGAAGGAGTTCCCGTGGATTCTACCAATCTGGTGCTACGAGCGCTCCAGTTGATGCGAGAAAAGACCGGAGTCCAACAATATTTCCAAGCCAATCTGATAAAGCAAGTCCCTGCTCAAGCCGGTCTCGGAGGCGGTTCGGCGAATGCTGCCACGGCCATGTGGGGCGCCAATCAACTCATGGGCAACCCAGCCACTCTCGAACAGGTGAGTATCATTATCATAGTTACTTCCGTATACCCATTATGATGTATGATAATGCTAACAGTCCCCTTGCTTTAATGGATTGATTTGTCAGATGGTAGAATGGTCTGGAGACTTGGGCAGTGACATTACCTTTTTTCTGAGTCGCGGTACCGCCTACTGCACGGGACGAGGTGAAATTATGGATTCCATTGATCCACCACTGACGCCCGGCACCAAGTTGTGCATTGTCAAACCCAACGTGGGTCTCTCCACACCGGCAGTCTTTAAGGCACTGGAATACGACAAACTGAGCACTCTGGATGCCAAGGAAACATTGCTGCCGGCGTTTTTAAAGGGTGTCGACACGGTCCCCGACGAATACTTTATCAATGATTTGGAACCACCGGCATTTTCCTGTGTACCGGAACTAGCGGCCTTGAAGGACGAATTGTGTCAAGTGGAAGGATTCCAGCACATTATGATGTCCGGCAGTGGTACCAGCATTTTCTGCCTGGGCAGTCCTGCCGATGAAGCAGCATTCCTTGCCAAGTTTGACGAACGAGACGATGTCCAAGTCTTCTTTACCGAATTCATTGATCGGCCCGAGGGTGTTTGGTTCGAACGTCCCAACTAATAAGCAACAACTAAACTACTTAGCTACAGTAGTACATGCGTTTGTATCCTGTATCACGTGTCACTGACTCTTGGCTATAGCTGCCATGTTGGAGCTCGGACTACTGATTATAAGAGGCGAGATCCCGTTGCTGGACCATGGCATGTTAACGGCTCCACTATTGATTGTGTGGCCACAAAGAAGTAACAGCTGTGCTAAAGATGAGAATAAGGCTACCAAATTGACGCAAAGCCCACTTTTGTCTTGGTTCCTTGCTTCTATACCCGCGTCAACATACCCACTTTACCAACTATGCATATGTAATTGCATGCATCACAAACTTTGAAATCATACATGGCAACCGCAATATCGCTGGCTGCCTCCCATTCAGTTTTTTCTTTGTTTGGCGGATTGTTTGGCTGCCTGCTCATGCATCTGCACTTTCCTTGGGCGTAAACTTTTCTCCATTATGCCACTGTCCTTTCTTGGTGAACCATGCCTTGGCATCCATGGCATCGGGTACCACCTTTTTGAACTCTTCGAGATTGGCGGTATACCCCGACTCTTCCATCCAGAGTGTCATGTGATACAAATCATTCATGAATAAGCGCAAAATAAAGCGAGGAAGCGCCGTCTTGTAGACACACGGGACACCGCTTGCTTCCGTCAATGCCTGTGCCAATTCGGATCCGGTGTGTTCTCCTCCCACCGCATCCAGCGTTTTTCCGGCATGCTCTTTGGCATGGAAAAGCAATGCCGCACTGCCCTTTCCGATATCTTCCGTGGCGACAAATTTGTATTTGATATTGTCGTATCCCAAAAACTTGACCGCACCCTTGGAGAGGGCATTCCAATTTTTGGGATCATCGAGATTGTCAAAAAACGCGACGGGACGAATAATGGACCACGTCGTTTTGGAAGTGTCAAGTTCCTTTTTGAGATAGGCTTCGACGTCGGCTTTGCTCCAGAAATGCTCGACCGTTTCGGGACAATTGTCGGCATCGCCCACGGATCCGTACACGACATGTTCGACTTGATCGCTGCATTCTTTGGTAATGGCGTCAATGACGGCCTTGCCCAACAAGAATTCCTTTTCGCGCGTCGGACTCTTGATGGTGTACCAATCGGTGGTGAACCAAATGCGGGTGGCTTTCGATTCCTTAATGGCGGCCACCACCGACGGTGGATCCGTGTAGTCCGCTTTTAGCACTTTTTGCACTTCCAAGCGCTTGGAAGAGGCACTGGTTGGATCACGGGACGTCGCACAAATGTTCGTGGCTCCCAATGCTTTCAGAGCATCAATCGTTGCACGGCCTTGACGACTCGTTCCAAGGAAAATCAAATAGGTTGCATCCGTCATGGTGGTGTTAGTTTTATTCAATTTCTAGATAAATGAAGAAGGGTGTGAAATTGTTGGATGGTTTTTGGTTTTGTGAGAGGAGACGAGGAGAGAAAGATCCAACCCACAGATATCCTTGCTACTAGCTACTATTAATAGTCGCGTGACGACAGAAAAGGGGTTCGGATGTCGTCACTGGGAGGTTCTCAGAGTTCGCAGGAACCAAATCGAAGCAAAAGCTGGTACCGATCGCACTTCCGCTCACACTTACTTGCCTTGGAAAATGGTACGGTTCGGTGCCGCTCTCTGCTCGGTATGCAGACGGATTGGATGAGTTGCCTACGTCTAGCTATAGCTAGTTGCCATTGATTGCACGGCTGGACAAGCCCTTATAGGAAAGGAGCAATGCTCGTTTTGGAAGTTTTGGCAAAGCATTCAACAATGGATCTACAGGTAGATGATCAAGTAGAATCTAGCAGTCTGCAGATTGCAGCTACCAGTATGGGTACCTTTTTCTATTTGACTCGACATAACCTTATCTAGAGTCCTCCATCCGTCAAAGAGTAATTGGAACAGGCACAAGAACATCCACACAAAATAGAGGAACAATCAAAGTCAAGATGGCAGGGCTCAGCCAACCAATGATCTTTTTCGTAGACAGTACAAGACAAATTCTGCACGAAGCATAGCTCCTCTGGGATTGTGCCAGACAAGCCAAGGTTGCCAGTTAGATTCAAAATCTCCAGATTGGTTAAAAGCCCAAACTCAGATGGCACAGGCCCAGTCAATTCATTTTCATCCAAATGCAAGACTCTCAAACCAATCACCTGACCAAACTCAGAGGGGACAGGTCCACTGAACCAATTTTCTTTGCCCCCAAAATGAGACATATCAGAGAGTCTTCCAAGCTCTGATGGAAGCGGTCCAGTGAGATGATTTAGGGACAACTCCAACAAAGAAATGTTAGCGAGTCTTCCAAGTTCCGATGGAATTCGCCCAGTGATCTCGTTTCGCAATATCCACAAGTGAGTCAAACCAGACAGCTGTCCAAGCTCACTTGGGAGTTGGCCAGTCACGTGTTCACCATACAATCCCAAAACAGTCAAATGAGTCATCTCATACACTGCCGCTGGAATCAGAGATGAAATTGGTGTTGCAATATCATTGAAACCGAGCTGAAGACGGGACAATGAACTTAGCATGGTGATCTCTGGTGGAATAAAAGGTGTCAAAGCAGAGAGCTGTAGGGCTTCCAACCAAAGAGAGGTAAAGTTGCCACGGCTGTTGCATGAATAATGCGAAGGATTATCCATATCATCAATGTATTTTCCTTCCTCATCAAAATATCCAAATCCACTGGAAAACCAGTCACACTCATCCACTGTGTCATCCATCCACCCGTGTCCCTTGATGAGAGGATTCCAATTTTCTCCCTCAAAGGCATAGAAAAATGTAGCAAGAGCAAACAACTGATCCTTTCTCCATCTTGGTAGGAATGTGATGTTTTGGTGATTTGCAAGCCAATTCCATGCTCTCCACTGAGGAGTTTCACTGCCATTGTTGATACTAGCCAAGGTGTTGCTGGGCAGAATATCCAACCAGAGGTCCATAACCCCAGTGGGTGCAGCGGATGGCGATAAGGAAGGCTCCAAGGAACCAGATACCGTGGGTGATGGTGTTTGGATGATTTCTGACTTGGGCCTTAGTCCAACCCCCAGACTGATGGCGATTATAATTAGGGAACAAACAACAATGGCAAATGCAACTCTTTGCCACTTCTTTTCCTTTTCCTCTCTGTCAGCCTGTCGTTCCAATACATCATCAACTTGTTTGGCTTCCTGGAAGACTAGCCTTCTAGAACTCTCAATGATAGCTCTAGCTTCAACCAGTCCTTGGCCGTTCGTTACAGGAGAATGTGGGACAGTATTGGTGTTTGCTGGAGGATCATTGACTGCAATATCGTAATCGTAATCATTTTCATTTTCATTGTTGTTGTTACCCACAAGCTCAAAATCAAGACTTTGCACACGCTGCAAGTTTTCGCCTCTGTAGGCTCCAGGACGGGCTTGTTGCCTGTCTCGACGCAATGTTGAGGGCGCCACTGGGATCGGTGCAAGTCCTTCCAATAAATCATCCATTAAATCTTGATGATTGGTAGGTGCATATCCTGGTTGGTTGGGCACCATTGCCAGAGGGCTAATTGTGTGGGGACTCTGTGCTGCTTGCTGCTCACATGTTGCAGACGGTGCAACAGGTAGTGGCTCTGCTGCACATTTTCCTTGCTCCATGTAAAAGTCTGGGGTACCTGATGCTCTGGGGGCTGATTGGGCAGTGCAATACCTGGGTGTTTGAATGTGTTGCGGGTTGGCATAATTTGTTGCATCAATGTCATTTTCTACCTTGGAGCAATCCGTGACTTGAGCTCTACCAGCTCCAGAAGTACTGTCCATGCTGCGTCTGGCAGCTTCTTTAGCAGCAATTTCTTCACCCAAAGTTGCAACAGGTGGAGTTTTGGCACAACCAGCCACCTGTACAGCTCCAGCAATACATTCTTCCTCTGTTGGCGGCAGAATTTCCAGACCAGCTTTTTCCGACCCAATCTCCATGATTTTTGTTGTTGCTTCATCTTCCTCTGACTTGGCTTCTTTTTTGCTTCTACTAGTACGAGTAGTGGTAGAAGTAGTAGTAGGTGTCTTCTTCATCTCCGTTTTCTTGAGGACTCGACTTTTGTCTTCTACGTGAACTTTTGTGGCACTAGATTCTTCATCTCTGTACTGCTGTGTGGTTTCTGTCTTTGTGTGCACATTGAGGCTATCCGTTAATGCCGAGTCAAGTTGGTCTGGCGGATTCTGGATGTCTCTAGCAATACCGGAGCTGGCTTGACCAGCGCCATAGCGTTCATTGGATCCATCCATCTTCTTCGGAAAGTAAGCTTTTCCTCCTTCCATCTACAGCTATCAATGGATGTTGCCTATATCGGTATAAAGTAAAAGCAAATTGGGATCCAGATAATGGGAGGATTGCTGCATGCATGGCGGTGCCCTCGATCGCTTTGAATGCGGATCATGCATCAGTGTTCTGCAGTGTCGGCAGAGCGTCAAGCGATCTCGACGTCTGCGGTGAATCATATACATGTATATGCTGCAGGACTTAGAGAGACTCGACCTTTAAACCCTTTTTTAAATCTTTGGAGTGACATCAACGATGCAAGTACCACAAGACAGGAAAGCTGTGACTACATCCAAGGCAAATACGTACTGTTTCTCGATTGATCCTCTCTTTTTTAAATCCCTGGAGTAAAGTATGATGTAGTCTAGTCAAAACTATAGTTTCTCTCTCTATCTAGGTTCTAACACATAGTAGCCTCTTCGTTTATAATCACGGCACCGTATCGAGTTGCTCGGCAGATGGATTGGATGAGTTACGTCTAGCTACCGGTAGCTAGTTGCCATTGATTGCCATGCGTTGACGACCAACAGGTGGCTGTCCTAATCTCCGACGAACGATGTTCAGGCATTCATTTACTGTGCAGCATTGCTGATACTACCGTACGGTACCGGTATTGGATTCCAGTTCCCGGGTGATCTGGTCAAAACCCACATGGCACATGGAGGAGTCAAATGTTCTTCAGAAGCCATTTGACGATAGGAACCATGTTCAGAGCATGAAAGTTTCACGAGGAAGAGAGTACTGTGGTTTGAATGTCAACATCTTGAAGGGAAGCAAGCTAGATTGAAAACGCAGGAACGCTTGTCACGGCTCAGCTCAATACGGACGGCGATCTATCGATTGGCAAAGCCACTCACTGTAGAAAAAGAAAGCTATCGGGAAGACTGCAAACCTTTGCGGGAATGCCCTCCTCTCTTTATGTCTCCTTCGGATACAGTCTCAGAGCTATTCATCAGCACCTGGTAAAGACATGTCATCTTCACTAGTGGTGTTGCTATCGACACGTCTTTCCTGAGATAGCTCATGATACATCGCAACAATGGGACGCGTCACAGCTTCCGCGAGCTTCACTGGAACTGAATTACCAATCTGTTTGCGCATGGCAGTCAACGACCCAAAGAACTGCTTGCTATCTGGATAGGAGAAGAGCCTTGCCAATTCTCGAATAGAAAGAGTGCGATGCAGTTGCGTTGGGTGGACAAGGCCACTCGAACTCTTGGTAGTGATAGTGTTGACGGGCTCATCCATATCCAAGATTGTGTTTTCTAGAGTTGGTTTTGACGCCACATGATTGAATGCGAGTCCACCGCTGTCAAATCTATGGAGACCCGACCCCTCCATCATGTCGCAATCCTCCGGAAGACCCTGCAGGGCATCGCCCAGCACCTTGGGGGTAGAGATGGGTTCAGGCAAACTGGGAAGGGGCGTATCTTGGCGAACAAACGTGAAAATGACGCGATTGCGGTTCTGAGGGTCTCCGAAATATGTTGCATTGTGAATGGCGATTCGCACTTGATAACCAAGATGAAGCAACTCTATCAAGATTTTGGTGCTGTGTTTCAGGTGCTTGGGTCGTAGAATTCCCGCCACATTTTCCATCACACCTGTCCGAGGTGACAGTATTTCGACTGCCCGAACAATCTCATAAGAGAGCAAATTGTTTGTGTGGTCATTACGGCCGCCTCGATTCGCCGAGGAGTATCCTGTGCAGGGAGGAGAACCTTGGAGGTGTTCCACGTCTTCCTCTTTTGGATAGCCTGGTGTTTTGGCTTTGCACTTGCCAAGGAAACTGCGGACATCTTCTTGGAATATCATCGCTTGTGGGTGGCTCTCTCGGAGGGAGGCAGCAGCAAGTGGATCTTTTTCGACTAGCCATGAAACGTCCATTCCCGCGTTCTTGTCTCCAGTGGAGCTACCTCCGACTCCAGCAAATAGAACTAGCTCTCGTGGATTGCCACCTCGGCCTCGGGGGACAAACGGCTCAGTTGGATCAAGCTTCAAACGCTTAAATTCAACCAGAAAATTGCTTTTCTTTTGATCGGTTGACCTTGTAAGTTGAAAAGTTGCTTGGGAACGCAACTCCTCAAAATCTTCTTCGCCATCGTATTCATAGAGAGTCTTCATAAACTTCACGCCTTTTTCGGCTTCTTCATACACAGTCTCAGCTGCGAGGCGTTGGTTGAGGGAATCCAGTTGAATTCTATTGAAGCTGTTTCTCAGTGCAACTGACACTGTGCAGACAATCTGACATCGGGCCCTGCGAACGGGCAATCGATTTCCAACGAACTGCTCGACCCTAACAATGTCCGCGCCTCTGTTGTACACTCCGCCTACAGATATTTCGGTCGAACCAAAAATCGCACTCGTTTCGTCACACGGTTTGATCCTCCGTGCCCGCTTCGGTTCTCGATTGTCGTCTTGATCGTCTGATTCGGATTCAGAATCGCTGTAGTCAGAGTCATCCTCGTTGCCGAACACAGACATAATCTCGTCGATAGTAACATCGTCTTCGATGTCGGAATCTTCTCCCTCTTCGGCAGAGGAGGAAGAGCCTGTGTCAGAGGAATCGTCTGCGTTCCCTCCTGATAAGTCCGATGGGAATGTAGACAAGTCGTTGCCCGCAACAACGCGGTCGACGGAACCATCCTCTCCCACACCATTGTTGCCTCGCAGTACAGTCAAGTCGTCATTGACTCCTTGATCTGATGCATCGGAGCTACGTGCTTCCGGTTTCGGTATTGTCAGGGATAGAGTGCAGTACTTTCGGGTCAGTGGATCCATCACCAAGTTGGAGTCGCTGTCCACAGGTTCGATGGAGTATTCAACACCTGGTCGAAGCAATGCAGGGAGAGGTGTATACAGCCCAGTTAGGTGGAAAACGATTGGTTCATCCTCACCGGCAGTTGTTGCACGGACTTTATGGGTCTCCTCCAGCATATTGTTGCAAACACAAATCCGCCGTTGACCACCGTGGTCCTCCAGGTCAAAAGTAAACCAAGGTCTGTCAGAGTTGCTTATCTCGCTGTACTTGAAAGCAAAATCTTTGATCTCACCAACCTGCAAGGCAATCGTGAAGCCGAGCTTGTTCGATGCTCGAAGAAAGGGATGATCGTCTTCGTCTGACAACGAGAGCATCGAGTTGTTGACGTAGAACTTTTCTCCCTTCGACCTGCAGCTAAGACCTTCTCCCTGGCTGTTGATGAAACGACCATCGATGCACACTATGCTCTCCCGCTGGATTTGGAATTCGTCATTGGCGTTCTTGAGGCGAAATAGGGAGCTCTCTATTAGTTTCTCATCGTCCGACCCAATGCCAATTCTGTTCTTCTCCGAGAAGAGGAAAGATATTTCCGCTTCGATATCTCGGTAGCCACCTTTTCGTAGAATATCAACAACGGAATTCTGTAGGATGATCGCAGGTCGGTTTCGAAATGTTCTGTTGAAGGACTTCTCCTCAGACCGCCGACAGGGGAATGCATCGGCATCCTTCTCTTTTCTAAAGCAATTTGCAAACTTCTCGCAAAGTTCTTCGCTTTGCAAGAGCGCATTCACTTCATCAACCAGGCGGAGGGTGCTTTCGTCCTCTATTTCCAGTACCTTGCTCACAAGATCAGCCATGAAATCCCCGTCCTCCTCACAGGCTCGTTCTATCATGGGTCTGATGCAATCTTGTAGAGCCTCTGTGTGAATGCTGGATGCATTTCGATCCCGTCCTGTGATAAATTTCTTGTCGGGGACGTCATACCCCAGGAGAAGATTCTTCCGCTTAGCGACAAATATCCCCATGCAGTAGATGCTTCCTTTGTCGAGTGGTCTTTTCATTACCGCCCCTTCGCTGCAATGCGGCACACCAGGCGAGAGCAGCCTAAAGAACGATGGATTGAAATGGTGATAGTTGTTGGGAACATCATTTTGTGGTGGTTGCTTGAGGTGCAACTTGACAAAGATGAGGTTTGGATTCTCCTTTGCTTCCTTGCTCAGACGAGATTCCTGTTTCGAATAGCACAGAACACCCTTGTTAATCAAGAACTCCCTCCTACATGTCTTGGGGGGCCCTTTCCTAGTAGATTGTCCGGCCACTTTCCTAGTAGATTGTCCGGCCTCAACAACAAGCGTAAAATCATTCCGAACAGCGACCAACGCTCCTACTTTGAAGCCCTCACCAAATTGCCCTGCTTGGTCACTGACACTCTTCTTGAAAGTTTTGCCGATTCGTACCAAGTAGACCATCCGAAACGATGGGACCAACCTGTTGATTGTTTCGCATCGTACCAGAACAGTCCCAGGTGGCTGCCTCCCCTCTTCCTTGAATGCTGTCCAATCAATCACTTGCTTACTCGCAACTTCCAGCCTGATGTATGCCAAGGATTGTTGTTGGTCTTTGTGCCATTGCCTCATCGTTTTTGGTTTGACCCATTTGGTACCGGCAGATTTCTCCTTTTCACCGAAAACCGTCAAGATCATTTCTGCTTTCCCTCCATGAATAAAACCAGCATCAGAAAACTTTTTCGGAGGCTTAGAGCTAGTGATGTACCAGCCACGGCCAGCAGGTCGAAGATCCGACTTGCCTTTGCCATCACAGCCACCTGCACCACTGTGCATCCACTCCACGGCGCCATCCACCGCATTTTGCACAACTTCCCGGATCGCCTCGTTCAGCGTCCAATGAGAGCAATGCCCTAGAACGAGGTTGAGGGTATTTCGAGGCATGGTACTCAATCATTCAACTCAATTTCGATTTGTACTCTTGCGCTGTACCGGGCGATGCCAGCGGTTCGATCTTCGGCTCCAGTGATATACGTCTGGCATGAACTAACAAAGGGAAATGGCTGATGACTCGATGAATTGAGTCGAGTCAGAGTCAGTCACTCCACGAACACCAAGCTTGTTTTGATCGCGATTCGATTCAGTACCGGTACAAGAATAGCACAGGCTTCAAGAAGTGTATGCATACGGTATCATTCGGTATCATAAATCGATGCCGTGAACAAGCAGGAAGGAAATCTTGCATCGGACACTCGGAACATTACTTTTGCTTGCTTCCTGCTACTTGTAGCTAGTAATGTGAACATGAACCAGTACCGTAGGACATAGGAGGACCGACATCCAGTAAAGAGGGGTTCGGACAACATCATATTCATTTATTACAAAATGATGACTATTGGCCAGCGACGGGCAACGGGAAATGTGGAGTTCCGCTACTACTAGCTAGCTAGTATATTGACTACTGTAACAGGTCCTGACCTGGTAACGGAAAGCACCAGAGCTGACTCGACTCTAGCTAACTAGTGCAGTAGAACTGACTACACTGTACTCAGGTACTATTCTACATGCATGTATTAGGAACTTCTACCGGTAGCTACTGATGACCTGGTATGACCTGTAACATGGGGACTAGCTATGTGACCGCAATAATGTATGTAGCTCTGCAATGTGCTGCGTGTTGCGTGCTACTGAGAAAAACTGAAAGAGCGTTTGTTGCAGGAGAGCCATAGATTTGGGTTCAAGTTCTGCGGCAATAGCTGCTGCGAAGCCTGCGATACAGCGAACGACGAAGGGAAACGCAATGTGGCTTATTAATACTGCATCAGAAGGCTTTGCTTTGAACGCGATCCGGGAAAGTGTAAATGCGTGTATCTGGGACGGACCGACTGCACCAGCCACCGGCTACTTTTTACCGGTTCGTACCTGGAACCATCGCACAAGAGGTGCATGCATGCAGGAGCATCGCCAAAGAGAAGGAAAGAACTCCTTATTTGATGCATGCGGACACTCGGAACATGACATTACACATTTACCACTCCGATCCGAGTAGATCTAGTCACCAAAGATTCATCAAGTACTCTAGAGGAGTACGGTACGTCTGATCTAAAGTACGTCGCTTTCTGTCTTTCTGTAAAAAATGTGTTATGGAAGCTTTATGGATCATGCATGGAGCAACGCTGTAAAACTGCATTGATTCGATTCTCATTTATTTATTTCTCATTCAAGCTTACTCAGTAATTTATTACGATATGCCAAACTGACTGGTGAACTACTGCTGACCTGTACTATTCTACAGCTCGTTCTGCTCCATCCTTGTTGATCCTTGATCCTTGACCATTGATGAGCAAGTTTCGGCGAAGTGGTTGCAGCCGATGAAGCCCCCAAGCTATTATAGATGTTGGCTCCGCTCAACCAGTGATATATGGTGCTTTTATCATTGCACGCTTTTTCATCTTGCTCTGGGTTGCCCTGAAAAGCTGCGTGTGCAGCGTATTGCTTTGTGCTTTGTGGCTCCGCACCTGCCGATGCCGTAGATGTCTTGGACGATTGCCAATAGTTATTTTTTAATAGGGAGTACTCTAGCTAGTATTGGTCAACAACCAGACATGATGCTTTTTTTAAAAGCAAGGAAGGCCAGGTAGATGCCTCTCCTTGTTTTCGAAATACGGCTGTGCGCTGTACGCTGGACTGGTTCGAAGCTGCATGCTCGAAGTTCCTAGCCAGCTACTAGCGCTACCGGTGCCTGTAGTTGCGTTGGTAGATACAGGGAACTTCTAGCTAGCCACTAGCTACCGGTAGACAAGCAATCTTTATCAGATGAAATACCGGTATGGAGGTTGCTATGAATTAACATTGTAAGGTATCTAGATGTAATGGTGAATGCAAGTCTCTTTCTATGCTGCCACGGCTGTGGTGGGAATCCCCGAGACGACCAGGTTCAGGCGCAACTCTGCCATGATTTGGTCACCTAGCATCATCATGTAGGGCGTCCTTGCAGAGTTTAGCTCCTGTTCCTGTTGGAGCTTTCGGAGGAAGGGGGAGAGCAGGCTCAAATGTTCCAAGCCCCGCAGAGCCTTGTCCACTTGATGGCGTGTAACCAAGATATGGGTAATGTTGTTGAGCACCAAGGCCCTCAGGATCTGCATGGTCTCGTGGTCTTCCGCAGGTCCCTGACGCATGGTCCCTCCAACTTCTTGGATAATCTCCAAGATGTTGTGGTACAGAGAAAAGGCATTCTCCAAGTGGTGAGAGCCGGGTAGCTGATGGTACGTCAGAGCGGTATTGAAGATGGCTGCGGAGACCGCCAAGGCCACATGCTGGTGAGTAGGACGGGTGGAGGGAGGAGCAAAGATGAGGCCATGGTTGTACCGGAAGAAGCACCTTGTCTTGCTGTCCTGTTCGGAACATGGCACTGCCTTGGCGGTGAGGGCGAGTGGGCGTGCAAGCTCTGAGGAGGACTCGCGGCTACCAGGTCCTTGCCTCTCAAAGTCGTGCATGAGCTGGGAAAGCATGCGGAACGCTAGTTTGAAGTTGTGATGCGCTCGTTCTCGGTTGTTGCAACTCAGGAAGTGAACGCCGTAAGTGTTGCATCTGGCTGCCTCGTAGAAGATGGCGGTGGTGTCTTTCTGCTGATGAAGAGATGTCATGGTGATCAGTGTTTTGAGAAAAAGGGATTGCCGTGGGAGGGTGGATACTAGCCTAGTAGAGCACTCAGAATGTTCATGCAGACTTCAAAATTGTGAGATCTGATCTGATGGTTCGAGTGGGTTTCGAGTGCATGCAGCAAAAGGGATTCCACTTTTAGGTCAAGTGGAGCTACTAGACTATAGCAAGATCATGTCAATATGGG